GTACATAACAGTAGGTAAGGTAACATAATGAGAATGAAGATGTGAAGACATAAAATAGCAATCGAAGTTATTATAACCAAATTCAGTCTATAATGTTTTTCGACTGAAAAAATAGATGTTTTGGACAACTGCAAATAGTCTGAATATTTACTAGCGCATAATGCAAGTTCATTATAGGAAATAATAAAGTTATAAACCGTTTTCAGCATACAACCTTCGGAATATACCACTAACATATAAACCACAAGTTTGCATCCACAAAATGTAGGACAGCCAGTTCGTACCATGAACAAAAATATGGGAATTGCAGTGTACACATACTACACACCCTTCTTACCTCTCTTGCGACCGGATCATGTGAATGGTGTCTTAGTGTTTACACTAGGCATCTTCAGTCTCAACGATTGAGGTCTACGTAGGGAGATCAACAGTCTTCAACGGTTCAGCAAGGATGGCATCATCAATCAACGGAGCATCGATGGAGACAACAACTATAGGTACAATGTTTGTAGCCTCTGTTACACTATCTGGAGCAACATCAACCGACCTCTCGAATCTCATTAAAAGTGTAAGCTTCGTATATAAAAGAAATCCAATAATAATTCAATATCTATTAATAATGGTCCTTTTGATCAGAGATATTCTTTCTATCCTTGATATTTGATATGAAATCCTACCCCATACATTTTTACAATCCGAAATCTTATATAGGAGACTTTTTGTCGTAAGAATTTCGGTCCTGACTACTCTTTCAATTCGTGACTTATTTTTAATGCGATTTTTAATTCCAAGATAAATTTTTTCGTACAAATTAAAGAAGTCTATGCTGGATTCTTAGCTTAACTCTCCTCTAGGTTTTATATTTATAGGAGATATTCTTTTCAATCCCTCGATAATTTATTTGTACACATTAAAGGTGTATGTCCAAGATTGGTTCTTAGATTATCAAACCATCTACATTTTTTTTAAAGTTTATAGGAGATATCCTTTCTAATCCCAATAAATTTGACTAGCGAAGGGCAGAGAAACATAAGTCCAATTCAAGTTCTTAGCTTATCCTCCTTGACGAGACCTTATATAAATATCCCCATATGCGTTAATGAAGAGAGGCATATATAGGAGCTTAAATCACCTATTGGGATCTTCAAATATAACAAAACCAACATTACTTGATGAGTTAATGGAGAAAGACATAGATATGACCTCAATTATCTTACTGGGTCTCTAGTATAATAGAATATCAATAATCCTCAATGAATTTATGGAGAAAGACCTAGTTATGACCTCAACTCCTTCATTGTATCTTTAAGTATAGTTCTCTATGAATTAATAGAAATGATCTAATATGGCCTCAACTCCCTCATTGAGTAATCAAATATGATAGAGAACATCTCCTAGGGAATGAAACCTTTCAAATTGTATACCAGATCCACGGCATGCTTATAGATTTTACTCTGATGGTGATTATCCCTACCAAAACTTACGGTTAGGCGATTGTCGTGAATCATTGCAAACATATGAACATCTATCTTCCTTGTCATCTCCAAATTGTCGAGGACTTATAGTGACAATTAAAGCACACTTATCTATGATGCTAGTCTTCCAATATGAATCTATTTTTACTAAGATAACCACCAACTTTCATTGGTCTTCAAGAGCTTAGTAATCGAGGACCTATAGCCAACCAATAGCTCTAATACAGATAATCATAGGCCATGAACTAGAGACTTTTCAGAGGCTTAAATAAACAAAGGTTTATTCTACTTTCATCAGATCTTAACTCTATGAATAAGCATGATGTGACTTCTAGAAAGTTTTATATTTTAAAGCTCCGCTTACCAACTGATCTTACAAGCTAGTATCAAATAAGCGAAAATCAAGGGCCAACGAAGACAACTAGTATTAGATGATCATCCATCTTCAAAAGTTCTAGGTATCCCTTGACAATCTCTGGATACTGCTAGAATGATCTAGATTATAGATTAGTTTGACCTTACGTGCGGAATTACTCTATTAAAAGCAACAAGCCACTTTTTAATAGTTTTTAGATAGTATTACATACAAGTCAAATTTGTCCTATGTTTGAATGTCACAGTCAATAATCAAAGCAATGAACAAAATCAGTATTGTTGACGGAGAAACCAAACTAGGTAAAAACTTTGGGACCAAGCCAGTTACCTCCACTATAGACAATATAGCTTTACATCGGATACTGTCTAGCCAATTCTACTAGACTTTTCGTATTTTCTAAGATTTGCTGACTCGACCAGCTTTCTGATCTTCTGTAATTATCTCTTCCAAGTGGAACTTTAAGAATCTCCAGCTTTTGTAATTTTCTTGCGGTTATAGTCCAACCTCTCTTAACCTCTATCAGCCTCTAAAGTTCAATTGAGAAAATCCCTTCCTAAGTGTGTTTAGGAAGTAGGTGTTTTAGATTCAATAGATTCGATGTTGTTCTCCCAATCTGTGGTTGTGTAATCTCAAGAGTAAGTGGATTGAATCAAAACATGAACAAGCTCTTGGATCTTCAAAGATTACTATAAATGTGTTATAGAGAAGAGGCAAAATGAACAACCACCCAAAATTCGTGTTAGGCATTGGGTATTTATAGTTGAAGGCAATTAGATAGTTTGGGTCGCATAAAACTTTGTAAAAATGTGAAGTAGGATTTCTCACGTAACACTATCACTTGAGCGAGGAACTAGCAATAGGCGACCGACGATCTGTCGCTTGAGTGAGAGACGGATGACGAGCAAGCGATGAGGTTTCTGTTTTTGTCACTGGAACAACATCCAGGCAATAGACTAGCGAAATTATGGCGTCTTTTCTTTCCTTATTCTGAGCTTGAATCCTAACTTACCTAACTCGACTATATAATATTGCAACCAACTCCTTAACTTTTTACAACATATTTATTTCAGTCTTTTTGTTCATTGAATTGCCAATTACATAAAACCTAATACATCTATAGGACTGCAAAGAGAATAGGCAATTGTATTGTAGGGATGAAGATAATCAATGATAATAATTTGATACAAACCTTAGAACATATCTTAAATAGAAGAATTATGATGTAATACGAGCACGACATAATTTTAATAATGAGAAAAACTTGTTCAATGCCTCGTATAGTGAGACTTCCTTCCAGTTGCTAGGAATTTTGTCGAGGCAAATGCTATAGAACCTGATGTTGAGGCGACATCTATTAAGGCCTGCACATTGGTGGCATGGCTTCTTTTCCGTGTGAGGTTCATCCTCTAATACCATGATAAAAATGTTTGAAATTTTTATATGGCAGCTGTAGAATTTAAAATAAATGCACTGGTATTAGTGTGACAACTTGTGTGTAAATGTCAAACTATTTATGTTAAATGACATGTTCTGTTTCTTGTGCAATAATGACTATGATCGCCAGATTCATGCATTAAATAAGAACCGTAGTCGTGAGTTTTGTGCGTGGACCTTTTAGACACTCTGACATGCAATATGGCCATTTTAGGTTAATATAGAACCCTATGGACAATAATTTTTTCAACATGTAACAAAGTATATTTGACTACCCACATAGGATCGCTGGTTCATGGCTTAGCTACCCTGTCATCTTGGTTTGTAATGTTTTCGCTAAGTAGGGGTTCAAATCCAAAAGACAACTTCATTTATTTGTAAACTTGGTAAGTGTGTACGAGAGATTTTACATAATGACATTTTTTGAAATTGGTGGAGGATTTTTAGAACTTTCTACTTTTTTTTTTTTTAAATTACGTTAGTTTTTGACATTGTAGGATTCCAAAAGAGTACATGAATAGAAAAACCATCTAGGGAAAGTTTGGAATGATGGAGGACAAAGGAGCACAAGTCGAAATCACCAATAACTTAGATGTGGCTACCCATATCTTGTAGGTGACTTGGCAACAACATGCACCATGTATTCATGCATGCCAGGAGGCATATCTCTCCTGCTTAGGACGATTGTCCACAGGTACGTTCTAGAACACATGCTTATGCACCTGTTCATTTTTTTCCCAGTTTTTCACCTCCTTTCACATGAATTCAAGTATGAAGTTATAACTATGAATAATTGTGACTCTTACGATGGTTTGTATCTTCTAGGGTGTATTAAGTACATATAAATTGTTTGTTCATTTTTTAAGATATATGAAAATCTTGTATTATTCTGCTATTTTCTTGTACTTGCTATTTTGATTTTTGCTTTCTTCAAATCATTGTTTGTGCTTGGTATACTTCAGAATTGGATATCAAAGACTCTTGTACATTCTCATCCATCCATTGTGTTCGATTTGAAAGGGTGTCTTAACTACATATAGATTGATGTTTTCAATTTTTAAGATCTACGAAAATCTTGCATTATTCTTCTTTTATTTTCTTGTACTAACTATTTTTTATTTTTGCTTTCTTCTAACCATTCTTTATGTTAGGAATACTGCTGAAGTGGATACTAAGGGCTCTTACATTCTCATCCGTCAGTGGTGTTCAATTTGTTGTTGTGAGTGCATAAACAACAACAAATTCTTTCATTGATTTCATTGTATTTTTAAAGCTTATTTGGTTTTCGTGTACACTCATTTTTAAGGGATAATAAAGACTTAAAGAGAATGTTACCCCGTGCCTTGAAATCCAAGTGCTATTTCAATAATATTTAGACATATGTCAGATGGAAACATGATTGGAAGTTCCATAAGATAAAATCATTATAACAGAGTTCAGTTAGAGAATGAAAACGGCCTGTCATCATTCCATTTGATTTAGCATCATAACACATTATTCTACTGCCAATGTAGGTTTAAAATATGGTGAATCAGGACAACTTAATGAACATTTAGAGCACAAATGTCCACCAGAAATGACTCAATTCACTATTTCACACATTAAGAAAAGTAGAATTTCATAATAAACCTACAATCTTAAATTGCCTAAAATAGAATAAATTCAACTTGTAAACTTCTCATAGCTTTCATGTGAGAAATGACTACAAAGATTGGTCAGAACACCGTGTAACTCTCAGATGGATTGTTGATGAGAACTTGTTTATCTAGGAGTCTCAATGCTTCAAGCAACACCCCAAAACAAAATTTATAATTTCTCAACACTGCAGGTATATACTTTCAGCCAGAAAAAAAAATGCTTCCATATGTCAATTAATCAAAGGTAAATCAATCGACCTACATGAATACTATCAGAAATACAGCACCTAGATAAGTTATCACAAATGAAGATACAATAGCTTACATGAATTTTTTAAAATGAAATCATAGGGAACTTCATCATTTGGACCCAGAGGATCTGAAAAATAATTGCATTAACACATTAATAACGAAATTAGTAAATCTAAGCTAGGTTATGATAAAATAGAAACTACCTTTGGAGTAATTTTAGACAATTTCGTTTATCGTGTAATTGGCCACGAAGTCCAAATCCTTTTGACAAACTCTCTTTACTCACTGTTGTCTTTTTTGTTTTTTAATCTTTTCCCGCACCCCTTTGCTCTTACTTGTTGAGGTTCATTGATATTTATACGCTCTTCAATACTCATTTGTTCGATGTATACCTTTTCAATACCATTGCCGATGTTAATCTCTTTTATTTTTCTGTGAAGCTCTTCCAACCTATTCACCAAGAGATTAGCTCCTTCCTCGGTGAGAGATGCATCATCAACCACAATAGAAGACAATTGAGATAGTTTAGAATGTCTTATCATCAATGATTGGTTTGGAATGTCATTTAGTTCCTCATTATCTTTATCCCACACTTGACTAATCTTTGCACTTTTGGCCCACCTTTGAAGAATATATTGAGTTGGCAATTGTAATCTTTTTTTTTTTACCCTAAAGTAAGCCAATATATGTCTGCATGGAATTCCTTCACATTCAAACTGTTGACAACTACAATGTACAATATCTAAAAACTTACTGAGAATAAGTTTTCGAGATCTTGATGTAGAATACTTATCAACCCTTTCAATAATATAAGTCACACTTGATTCATCTTCACATAATGTATTTAAAATGTAAGCTTGACTTTCAAAAATCTCATCTTGAAAAGTTCGAAAAACTTTTCTTGTATAAACTTTTAACATTTGTGCCTCCATTGGCCACAAGGATTTCAACTTTGATTTTTCATTAATATCACAATGATTAGCCATCAACTCTTGATGTCTTTGATGTCTAAGTGCTCTGTTAAAGCGTATAATAAAATCCATCAATGAGTTTTTCTTTGAAATGTACCTTTTGAGAAATGAATGAGAACTTTCAGCTCTTTGGTTGCTCGACATTCCAGTTGCAAAAATATGCTTAACAAATGTAGGGACCCATCTAGCACGCAACTCATATATTTGATGAAGCCAATCATTACCTATCAATTTAGTAGAGTGCAGCATATTTGACCAATTGGTTTCAAGCTCTTCAGTAGTCTCGAAATTTAAAATAATATTCTTCATCAAATCGTAGTTGTCCCGATATATTATCGCATTCAGTTTTTCAGAAAATTTATTTTGAATATGCCATATACAATAACGATGAAAAGTATTTGGAAGAACTTCGACAATTGCTCTTGTCAATGCAGGATCTTGGTCTGTGATGATCAGTTGAGGTGCACCCTTAGGCATTGCAGTCAACCAACATTTGAATGACCACGCAAATGACTCTATTGTCTCGTCACTTAAAAACCCACATCCAAATATTATAGTTTGAAAATGGTGATTGACTCCAGTCAACGGAGCAAAAATCATCCCATATCTATTTGTATTATACGTAGTATCGAAAATTACAACATCACCAAAAAAGTTATATTCTCGACTCGAGCAAGAATCAGACCAAAAACATCTAATCAATCTTCCTTCATTGTCTCTATCATAATCAAAATAAAAGCCTGGATTTTCTTCCTTCTCTAATGAAAATAATTCAATCAACGACTCAACATCAATTCCCTTCATTTCTTCTCTCAAATCTCTTTCATAATTTCTAATGTCTTTCTTCGTACATCCAATATTTTGAGGACCCCCAAATCCAATCTCCATCAAACTTATCTGTTGACTTGTGGATATAGTTGCTTCTGAGAAATGTTGTATTAATGCCTTTTTGGCATTTGAATCATGCCGGTGAGATCTTAATAAGTGAACTCTAGTAGGAGTTGTGAGTGCATGATTATGAGATTCCACAAAGCTACTAACAATCCAATTTATAGATGATTTTGGTCTGACTACAGTTAACTTAGCCTTGCAACCCACCCGAATGACTCCCCTATGTCTTTCGCCTGATCGTTCAACCATGTGTTTAAACTTCTTCTGATATGTATTATCTTTCTCTCCTTCTTTATAGCAAACAAATTGTTTCCAAAATACTTCGCTCGTGCCCAGCCTCTTTTTACTATTAAACAATCTAGCACTAAATCCAGCATCTCTTGTATATGTGTTATGAAACTCATATGCACCTTCAATTTTTTCAAACTCTTGCCCAACTTTAGGCTTTTGCTCCTATGCAACTTGGGGTGTGAATGTTTGAATTGAAGTCTCATCTTTCATGAAAAATTAAGTTTAACCGATAAAATAATGACAATTTAAATTACTGTCCATATGTTTAAACTAGTGGATATATAAAAAATAAAAATAAAAAATCTTGATTGACACTTTTCAAAAAACATTATTATTAATTCAGACTATCTATCCGTTATAATCAACCATGGAAACTGTCCAATAAATGAAACATATTAAACTACATTTTAAATTCTAGCAAATTCCTATCATGTGCAAAGTTTTGCAATGGCTACATTTTAAACTACAGCCCAATAAATTCTATAAACTTTCTGCAATTTCCAATAAACTACGGGGGGTGTCCCCCTTTTAGAGTTTAATAGATTTCTTAATATTTATAAATTCTCATGGATTGCGTGAAATTTGATAGAATTTAATAGATTTCATAAGATTTGAATGGATTTCTATTTTGTAGATTTTAAAAGATTTTCACGGATTTTATAGATTCTAGGTAAAATTTAAAAATATGCTTAACATGAGTCACAAATTTTTACTTCTTCTTTAACAACTCATTCTTACACATATGCACGTTAATAAATCACAGAAAATGATCGAATCCTTGTTAAATTATTTGTTAAACATTGAATATTATAACAGAGCTTCAATAAAAAATACACCAAATATTCAACAAAATGCGAGAGTGGGAGAGGACAAAAATATGTAGTGTTAAATAATCAAAGTCGTAATCAATATGAATTAGTTCAAAAGGCCACAACCTTGTGAGATACAAACACACAGATGTACACATACATGACCACAAGACAATTAATATCATACCCCCAGAATTCTCATTGACCATGTAGACACAAAATAAAAAATTGTGGGATAACATCTTCACATGTCTTGACTAGGATTTGTAGGTATATATAGAAAACATACAGCTCTTCCCAAGAAAAAGGAATTGGATACAGAACTTGAAAGATATGCATACTAGAATCTATAAAATAGTAAACAATATATAGTTTCAATAAGAAAAAATAAGTTCAATAAAAAATCACACCCAATATTCAACAAAAAATAGTAATCTTTCATAAATTATCATCAATTGAAAAGTTCTCATACACGATCTTTTCACAGT